ACTGGCTCCTCTTCAGGTGCCATCTTGGCCTGAGGAGACTGGTCGGCCCCTTCCCTGCCACAATGTCCAGCTGACTTCACCAGCTGCCCTGGCTGGGACACGGAGCCCAGTGGTACTTTGCTGTCGGAAGTGGGTACCGCCCCAGGGCCCAAGGAGGGCAGAGCAGCCCAGCAGCCCTGAGCGGCTCAGAGCTCACTTGGCAGTTAGCACTGGGGTCTGGGAGGAAGAGCGGGGGTGTTCACACGGGGGCCAAGCCGCCCTTGTTCTCAGGAGGCTGCGCTGAGAGGTGGGAGAGAGTTTTGACTGAAAGGTGCGCTCGTTCTCTGCATTCTGTTTTCTCTCTTCGCCCTGCTCCTGCAACCACAACAAGAGGTGGTGGCAGGCTCGTTGCCGCTCCCACACCCCTCTACCCCCACCGCACACAGAGTCCTCCAATGCGCCAGCTCCCTGTGTGTGGCGTGTGCAGGTTTTGTAGGGGATTGGGGGGAGACCACGTAAGCGTAACTTAAAATGAAAGTTATACTTTTTATAATTTTTTCTTTCTAAAACTTTGTGAAATGATCTCAGATTCATATTTTAGCGTGGGAGGCAGATCATATAGCAACCAAAAAAAGTATTGTGTACAATTTGGGGCAGTCACAGAATTGTGTATTTCATGTTACAATAAAGGCTTCATCTGAAGAGTTAGGTTTGAGTCTTATTTTTTTTCCCCATCATGTGGCAAAGGAGGATGACTGTAAGTCTCGGTGTGATTCTGAGAAGCAGGCGTGGGACACGGCTGGCCCACAGACCCTACAAGCCCACGAGGTCACTCATGCTGTCCCTGCCAAGGCAACCATCAGCGTTACCAAAAGACAGTCAGCCTACAGCAGGTGAATTGTGATGTTGACAGTTCTGTATGATCCACGGGTGAGGTTGTGAACATCCAGTGGCCCTTGGTGGACAGACAGGGTATTCCTTATTTTCCTGCCCATGTAATGTTATAAAACAGTGCAACAGGTTCCCTCCTGGCCTTCTCATGCACTCCTGTGAGAAAGCTCATCTTGTGTAGGCAGGCACCATTGCAGTGCCAAAGATCACGCTAAGAATGCTTGCATCCTATGGCCAGAGCATTGGCTCAATTGGTTAATCTGCCACCTGCAAGCACCAGCATTCCGTAAGGGATCTCCTGTCTCGGTTGCTCCACTTCCCATCCAGCTTGTTTCCTGGGAAAGCAAGTGGTGGAGAATGGTCCAAAGTCTTGGGATCCTGTACCCATATGAGAGATCCAGAAGAAATTCCTGGCTCCTAGCTTCAGATCTGCTTAGCTCCAACCATTGCAGCCATTTGTGTGAAAGATAGCTCTGTCTCTCCTCTCTGTAAATCTGCCTTTCCAATGAAAATAAATAAATCTCAAAGAAAAAAAGTTTGTTGTCTGTATTGGAGGGCTGAAGTTTAAGTCCTGACTGCACCTTCAGTTCCAGCTTTCTGCTGAGGCACACCCTGGGAGGCAGCAGTTGATGGCTTGTGTCCTCAAGTCCTTGTCACTCACACGGGAAACCCAAAGGGAATTCCCGGTTTCCACCTTTAGCCCTGCCCATTCCCCATCTATACAGCCATATGGGGGATGAACTAACGGATAAAAGATGTCTCTCTGCCTTTCAGACAAGTAAATCCTGTTGGAAGATATTTCATCTGCTTCATGGCTTCCAGATGGCCACCATGGCCAGAGATGAGCTGATTCAAAGTCAGGGGCCAGGAGTTTTTCCAGGTCTCCCAAGCAAGTGCAGGGTCCCAGGGCTTCAGGCCATCCTCTGGCTGCTTTTCCAGGGCCTAAGCAGGGAACTGGATGGGAAGTGAAACAACCAGGATATAAGCAGGCATCTTTATGGGATGCCAGTGCTTACAGGTAGAGAATTAGCTTGTTGAGCCATTGTACTGGCCCCTCTATCAAGTAAATCAAACAGGAGCAGGTGTTGTGTAGCATGTTTGAATGTGCAGGTGGGATTCCCAGCTCTGCTTCCCATCCAGCTTCCTGCTAGTGTGCACCCTGGGGAAGTCCTTGGGTCCCTGCCTCCCATATGGAAGACCCAGCTTGAATTCTGGGCTCTTGGCTCCAGCCTGACCCAGCCCTGGCTGAGGAATTTGGGCCATTGAATAGGTACATGGAAAGTGTCTTGGGCCTGGTGGTGTGGCCTAGTGGCTAAAGTCCGGGATCCCATATGGGTGCTGGTTCTAATCCCGGCAGCTCCACTTCCCATCCAGTTCCCTGCTTGTGGTCTGGGAAAGCAGTCGAGGATGGCCCAAAGCCTTGGGACCCTGCACCCGCGTGGGAGACCCAGAAGAGTTTCCTGGTTCCTAGCTTCAGATCGGCACAGCACCAGCCGTTGCAGCCACTTGGGGACTGAATCAGCAGATGGAGAATCTTCCTCTCTATCTCTCCTCCTCTCTGTATATCTGACTTTGTAATAAAAATAAATAAAATCGTAAGTGTCTTGTTTCTTCTCAGTCTGCCTTTCAGAATAGTAAAAATAAACAATGGACATTTTAAAACTTTAGCAAAAAATAATGACCCAACTGAATGCTTTCCATAACAGATACACTTTAGATTCAAAGGCACCAAACAGATTGAAGATAAAAGCATGAGAAAATGTGTCACCCAACCATGAGACATGTAGAGTAGCTTGTCCTGGATCAGAAAAAACACACTGTAAAACAAATAATGTTACTAGATATAGCGATACTTATAATAGTGACAAAGAAGTGAGATAGAACAGTTATGTACATCTAGCAGCCAAACCTCAAAATACATTTTTAAAAACCTGACATATCTGGAGGAAGAAATATAAAATGCAATAATATTTGGAGACTTCAGATATTTGGAGACTTAAAATAACACAGGGGCAGCATTGTGGCACAACACATTTGGCTACAATTTAGGACTCTAGCAACCCTATGGGTTTGCCTGTTTGGATCCCGGCTGCTCCACTGTAGATCTACCTTGCTGTTCATGCACCTGGGAAAGCAGTGGAACGTGGCCCAAGTGTTTGGGACCCTGCATCCATGTGACACAAGACCCAGACAGAGCTCCTGGCTTCAACCTGGCCCAGCCATGGCTGTTGTAGGCATTTGGGAAATGAACCAGTAGATGCAAGATCTCTCCGTCTCCCTCTTTTTCTTCTCTCCCCAACTTCCCTCCCTCCTTCCTTTTCTCACTCCCCTCCACCACCGCCTATCAAATGAAAGTGGCTTTTCATGAACTATGTTTCATGGGACACTACAAAGAGAACAAAAGATGGTCCACAGGGTGAAATATTTTTAAGTCGAAGGTAGGCTAGTGGATTTATATGTAAATACACAAATATACTGGCATGGTAGCCTAGTGGATAAAGTCCTTGCTTTACAAACACCAAAATCCTATATGGGCACTGGTTCGTATCCCAGCTGCCCCACTTCCCTTCCAGTTCCCTGCTTGTGGCCTGGGAAAGCAGTGGAGGATGACCCAAAGCCTTGGGACCCTGCACCCACCTAGAGGACCTGGAAGAAGCTCCTGGCCTTGGATCAGCTCAGCTCCAGCCATTGCATCCACTTGGGGAGTGAACCAGCAGATGGAAGATCTTTCTCGTGGTCTCTCCTCTCTGTAAATCTGAGTTTCCAATATAAATAAACAAATAAATATTTTTCTTTTAAAAAAAAGAGCTTATTATCAGTCAGCAGTTTAGCACAAGGGAAGCTGCTGCCAACAATACCAGTATCCCGTTTGCACACCAGTTCAAGCCTTGGCTGCTCCACTTCTGATTGAGCTTCCTGCTAATGTGCCTGGGAAAGCAGCAGAAGAGGGCACCAGCCACCCATGTGGGAGACCCACATGGAGTTGCTGGTTCCTTGGAGAGTGAGTCAGCAGATAGGAGTGTTCTGTCTGTTTTCTTCCCTCTCAAGTTTAAAAAGCAGCAGGAGCGGGGAAAAGAAGACAGTGTCCCAGCCAGACAGCAGGCATGATGAGAGGGGCTTTCATGAGCACAAGTTGTCTCCCCAAGGGTAGGAGCCTAACTTAAGCAGGTGCCCTGCTCTCTGCTGCAAAGCCACCTGCTTCTCCAAAGAAAGCCAATAGACTAACACAAATGTCCCCTGGTAGTAGAAATGCCCCCTGGTAGTGGAAAGGATTGACTGGCTCTTGTCTTTGTGTCAGGAGTTCAGGCAGATGTCTCATGGGAGTGAGGCTGAATGGGGCAGAGCATCTGTCAGAGTGGATAGGTGCCCCTCAAGGTGCTCTGTCCTTGAGGCTGGAGAAGTCAGGGGATGTGGGCTAGTGAGGAGAACACAGCTGGCAGGCCAGGCAGGCAGCTGGGGAGAAGCTGAGAGCTGAGCGTGCAGCCTGTACTCAGACTGGGGCTTGTAAGGGAAAGGGCGCCACTCCTCCCCACCCTTTCTCCTTTCCCACCTCCCAGTTCCCAAGGACAGAGTGTCAACTAGGTAACATTCCTGTCCAGGTCTCCCTACCCCAGTGCTCTCAGGCTAAGCAGAGGAGATGTCCCTGGGGGGCCTTTCCTGGGGAATGTAGGCAATGGCCTCAGGTTGGGTAAGCCATATCTGTTGCTGAGCATAGAGGATTCCCCTAGTGGGCAAGACTCGGCCCACCTGTAAAGCTGTGGGGGCCAGAGCAGGACTGTGGACTGTGGAATGCTGCTCCAAGGTGTGCTTCTAGAGTTTTCTGTTTTGCAGAAGGTTTGTGTTGCTGTAACCCTTCACACACACATACACACGGACTGACGGACCCAGACACCTGAGTTACCGCACACTGCTTCTGAGGCTGTCTTGCTACACAAGCCACTTCAGGGTGCTCTTGTCCACACTCAGCTTCTCCTGCACCTATGTCAGTTTGAGAGCCTGGCCTCAACTCCTAGATCTACCTGCCTGAGCCAGCACGCAGCCCTTGGGTGTTCTGCTGCTTTAAGAGCACCCCCCACCCCAGCTCCTCCCCTAAGCCTGGAGGCCGGATTTCCCCCATTATGGCCCAGCCCTTTAAAGCCCCGGCTCCATCTTCCCGGCTGGTGTCCTGATTCCTGAGGCACTGTACAGGGGGGCCCTGGGAACTGACAGTGGGCAGAAGTGGACTGTGACAGGTGCACAAGGGCACAGAGCTGCCATCCAGGGCTCAGGCGGGACGAACAGCTGGGACAGACAGGGTGGATGCTGAGAGAACGCAAACTCACTGGCAGCGGCCACTTTGTGCCAGGCCTGTGCTGAGCCATTTCTGTTTCTTCTGGGAGAGAAATTGGGATTCCTGTTTTACAGATCAGGCCTAACCTGACTGCCCGGGGCCACGCAGCCAGCAAGCCGCAGAGGCAGGATCTGAATTCAGGTCGGTTCCAGAGCCTCTCCCCAGGGTCACCTGCCCAGCAGCGTCCTGGCTTTGTCCTATCAACTTTGCTTCTCCTAGGCTTTCTGGTGCGCAGCACGGGGAGAGGGGAGGGGACTTGGACAGCCCCTCCTTCCTTGCTTAGGTTTCCTTCTTTCCTCCTGTTCCCCCCCACACACCCCAGGAGCTGCTTGGAGATGCTGCTGTGGCTGCTGTGGCTGCTGTGGCTGCTGTTGCCCCTGTCCCTCCTGCTCCTGCTCCTCCTGCTGCTGCCTCCTGCCACACTGGTGCAGCGGGGCTCCCAGAAGGCCAGGCTGTCCTGGCTTGCTGACCTCCAGTACCGAGTGGCCCGCTGCGGCCTGGGCTGGGCAGCAGCCTGGCAGCAGCGGAGACTAGAACAGAGCACGTGGCACGTGAGCCAGAGCCAGCAGCAGGCTCTCACCTGGTGTCTGCAGGGTGCCCGGGGTCCCCGCTGGCCCTGCGCAGGGAGCACAGGTGTGTTGCCAGGGCTTGGCAAAGTCACCCATGGGAAAGTTAGCTTCTAGAGCTGAAGAGCCTCTTCCCCTACCACTGCTGCCAACCCTGAGCGCCCTGACCTATAGCCCGTGCTAGGCCCCAGGCCCCCACCTAGCTCACAGGGTCAGGTTCACCTTTTCCCTTCCTTGTCCCCTGGGTTCCTCCCACAAGGGGTCTCCCTGTCTCACATGGAACTCTTGGCACATGGAAGTTTCCAGAGCAGTTTCTGGGGTCTTTGTGGTTATAGATGTGAACACCTTCCGGAATCGCCTCCCTCTGACTCAGGCCAACCAGGCCCAGGAAGAAGAACATGGAGGGCAGCTCCTGTCCCCTCCCGCAAAGCAGTGTTGTGGTGGGATCTCGCTGCAGGTAAACAGGGGCAGCCACTGGAACCCCTACCTGTAGCCAAGCCCTCCCATGGGATGGGCAAAGAACCCCAAAGCCGGGGCTCTTGAGAGCTAGCTCCACAGCCTCCCCTCTCTCCCCCAGGCCACTTTGCTGGGTCTCAGGGCGCTGGACAAGGCCTACCCCGGTGTGCTGGCTCCAGGAAGCACAGCCTGCGTGACTCCCACGTCCCCTTGGCCCAGTGCCCTCCCATGGCCAGGCCATGCCCTGGGCCTGCCTAACACCCCTGCAACCCAGGACTCCCAAGCTTTGCTATTGGAGGCACTAAGGTCCCCAGAGCTGAGAGCGCTGGAGGCCAGCACAGCCACTGAACTCCTGGATGTCTTCCTGGGCTTGGAGGCAGACAGCACAGAGCTGGTGGCCACCCTTGCAGCCGGAGACCCCGGCATTGCTCTCCCGGAAAGGGCAGCGGCGCTGAGCGAGGCCCTGGAGCAAGGACCCCAGGGCCTGGCCCGCCGGCTATGGCCACAACTGCAGGTGGTGGTGACGCTGGATGCAGGAGGCCAAGCTGAGGCTATGGCCGCGCTCGGGGCCTTATGGTGCCAGGGGCTCAACTTCTTCTCTCCTGCTTACGTGGGCTCTGGAGGTCAGCAGGCCACTGGGGCGGGGTGGGACAGGGTGGGGACAGAGGCCTAGGGGCAGCCAGTGGTGGGTTACTTAAACCTCTTGACACCCTCCATTCCACAAATGGAGAACCTGACACTCCTACAACTCCCAGCAGCACACACTGGGCCTCCTCCCAGCAGAACCTGGGGTTCTGGCCTAGAAGGATCGAGAGGATCAGACACCCAGAGGCTGGGCGCCTGGAGCTAGGTGCTCCAGTGGAAAGCAAATAATCGCTGTGGGATGAACAGTTGGTTGTTTGGCTTTCTACAGGGGTGCTGGGCCTCAACCTCTGGCCAGAGCAGTCCCCAGGCCTCTACCTCCTTCCCCCTGGGGTCCCCTTCATTGAGCTGCTCCCAGTCCCAGAGGGAGCCCAGGAGGAGGCTGGCCACACCATCTTCCTGGCTGAGGCTCAGAAGGGCAAAGAGTATGAGCTGGTACTGACTGATCACACCAGCCTCATCAGGTGACCACCTGCCCATCCCCTGCCTCCGTGGGAGCCGAGGATGTGAGCTCAGCATCCCCTGCCCTGACTCCCCCCTCCACGTGCAGGTGTCGCCAGGGTGATGTGGTGCATGTGGTTGGGGCCTACAACCACTGTCCAGTCGTCAAGTTCACGGGCAGGTAAGGGACACCCCTGGGGAGCGGAGTGGCTGCCCCTGTGCCCTGGTTCCACTGCCTCCGCCTTCCTCCGCCCAGGCTGGGCCAGGCCCTGAGCGTACGAGGCGAAGATACCAGCGAACATGTCTTCTCGGAGGCCCTGGCCCGGGCGGTGGGGCAATGGCCAGGGGCCAAACTCGTGGAGCACGGTTGTGTGGAGAGCAGCATTCTGGGTATGTGTCTCTACAGGCTCCTGCTTTCATTCTCTGGTTAGCGCCTCCCCCACTCCCTGCTCCCCACACCCTCTGGGAGAGGAGACCCTGCCTCATTGGCAGCCACTGACCTGATGAAAGTCCCTCTTGGTGTCTAACTCACATCCTTGCTGCTTTCTTCTCTCCAAAGCTCTGTGGTATTTGGGATTGTACGATAGGTTCCCCTTCACGCAGCCTACACCCTACCAAGAAACTTTCTCTTCCCCATGAACCTCAGGGTGGGAAAAAGCAAGATGGGGCAGGGGATCCCTAGCCCTGGAAGGTGCCCTGCTTACAGGAAGTATGGATGGTGGGTATTGTCCACAGACTCCTGCGAAGGCTCTGCTCCCCACTATGAGATCTTCGTGGAGCTCAGGGGACTGAGGAACCTGTCGGAGGAGAATCGGGACAAGGTAGCCGGTCCACTAAGAGAGAAGGCCGGGCCTGTGAGGGAGGGCGGGGCCTGTGAGGAGGGAGGGCGGGGCCTTGCGGAGGGGAACGCTGGGCCGTGTGCAGGAATGGGACATGAGGGGCAGGGCCTGCAAATCAGGGCGGGGGCATCGAGGGGCGTGGCCTGTGGCAAGGGGCGGGGTTGCGATGAGGGGCGGGGCCCCACTAGGAGAGAGCTGGTCTCTTAATAGATTTTTATGCCACTCACAGCCCTGGCTCACATGAACCCCTCTGTTCACAGCTCGATCACTGCCTTCAAGAAGTCTCCCCCCATTACAAGTCCCTGCGATTCCGGGGCAGCGTGGGGCCTGCCCGAGTCCACCTGGTGGGAGCTGGGACCTTCAAAGCCCTCCGAGCAGCCCTTGGGGCCTGCCCTTCATCTCCTTACCCCCCAGAGATGCCCAGGGTCCTTAGGCACAAGCACCTGGCCCAATTCCTACAAAGGAGGGTGGTGTCCTGAGCCAGGGCCTGCCCCACTGCCAGGCTCCCTGCTTCTCCCCAGTGGGGGTCTCTCAGCATGGGGATCCTTGGCCAGTGCTGGAGGCAGGCAGCCAGGAAGAGTAGACCCCAGTTCATGGCCACTGGAGACCCCTGGGGGAGAGCTCCCTATGTCTCCCAGCCCAGGGAGTGTTCTCGGACCTGTGCTCTGGATGGGCTGGGTGGACTCCAGAGGAACCCTCAGCTGACAAGGCAGATGGGCAAGGAAGAAAACCATCACGGACCCTGGCTGTTCCACGTGGCCCCTCCTGCCTCGGCCATGGCCTTCTCCCTAAAGCATCCCTCCCCACCTCCCGATGTCTCCCAAATAAACCTCTGGCCCCCAGAGTCCGGAGTCTGAGTCCGCAGGGAGCCCCCTTTCACTACTGGTCTGCCACAGCCTGGTTCCCCTTCCCCTGGGCTCAGCTATTCCCCTGGGAACCCTCAGCCCCTCTCTCCCCAAACTCCCCACCCGCCAGCTAGACGCTGAAGCCTGGAGCTGTATGCACATGGGGTGGGGGGCCCAGAGACTCCTGCCACGGCCTAGATCACCCTGCCTAGGTCATCCAGCCCATGGAGTGGCCCTCCCTGCCTGCCCAGCTCCAGCAGACCTGAGACTGGAGCAGCACTTCCCTCCTGCCTCCCACGCTGCTCCCTGCCCAGCCCAGCAGCAGCTTGCAGGCAGAGAATGCACCAGGTCTGTCTCCTGGGCTTCTGCCTGCCTCTCCACCCTCTGTCCTCACATCCAGGCCCCTGCCACTGTCCTCCACCCCCACCCCTCTCACGACTCCTTCCTCTGCGACAGCTCCTAGGCCCCCACCCTCAAGGGCAATCAGCACAGCCTTGGGCCCCTTGTCTAGCCTCCTCTCTCCCCATGGGTGGAGGGAACATACCCTGCGAGGCCCACGTGTCCCCCATGCCGCCCACATGAGCCAGGCCTTGGCCACAGCATCACGGCTGTGGGCGCCTTCTCCTCCACACCTACTTCTCAGGACAGGCACAGCCGGCAGGAGGGCTCCACTCCGCCTGCTCCGCTCCTGTCAGTCAGTCGCTGTCCTGTTCTCCAAATTAAGCTGTCCTCAGGAGCCCCCGCCTGCACTTGTGAGCTCTTAGGGAACTGGGCTGTGTCCCACGCATCCACAGTTCCTGCGCCCACACAGGGCCTGGCACACAGCAGGAGTGCAATAAATAGTTCCTGGGGGCCAGTATGGGTACAGCAGCTGAGATGGCTGGCGCTGGGCAGCCTGGCTCTTCTACCAGAGGGCCCGGGTTTGTGCCCCTGCTCTGCTCCCCCAAGTCCCACCCACTGTGGCTGGTGCTCCGACCCTGCCCATGTGGGAGACCTGGATGTGCTCTAATACCTGGCTGCTGGCTTTGGTCTGTCCCAGTCTCAGCTGTTGTCAGCACTTGGGAATGCTGACAGTGAATGGGAAATCTTTGTCTCTCTGTATTTTCAATGAATAAATAAATTAAGGATTTTTATCTTTGTTTCAAAGGCAGATATACAAAGGATATACAGAGAGAAAGATGTTTGATCTGGTGGTTCACTCCCCAAGGGGTTACAACAGCCAGAGCTAAGCCAGTGCAGAGCCAGGAGCCAGGAGCTTCTTCCCACACAGATGCAGTGTCCCAAGGCTTTGGGTCATCCTCTGCTGCTTTCCCAGGCCGCAAGCAGGGAGCTGGAAGGGAAGTGGACCAGCCAGGATAAAAACTGGTGCCCATATGGAATCCTGGGTGTTGTAAGGTGAAGATTTAGCCCCTGAGCCATCATGCTGGGCCCCAAATAAATATTATTAAACAATTAAAAATGAAACAACCAGTGCCCAGCCTGGAAATGGCATCTTCCCTGTGGAAGGTGGATAGGGGCGACACCCTCTCCTCTAAGCAACCCTGACCAAGGAGAAAACTGGGCAGGTGGGAGCTTTCTAGAAGCTTCTAGCAAAAACCACATTTGCCTTCTTTTTCTCTACCAGTACCGAGAGAATATTAAAAGTCTTAGAAAAGGCAGAAGGGAAGGAGTGGGGAGGGAGGAAGGAACAGAACCCAGCTTGGGCAGCAGAATGAGGCCTGCTGATGGTCGCTCTCCCACACCCCACTGTCTCACGCAACCTCTTCTAATTAGCAGCTATCCCTCCACCGCCATATTATGGCATAAACACGTCCCAGCTCAGCTGCTTTTGTGCGAGTGCATTCCTGGATGCAAGGTGGCCTCATTAGTTCCCGGAGACTGTCCCATCTCCAGGGAGCAGGCGGACCCAGCAGCGGGACCCTGGGGCCTCTGCCTGCCTGGGCGGCCATTCCTGGGAGCTATCCTGGAGACCAGGGTGCTAATCTTAGCCTGGCCTTTGTCTGGGCCCCGGGAGAGGACGCAAGCATGGATCACTCCCCCACCATGGCAAGGCACTATAAACCCCAGGCCCTCTGAAGGGGGTCACAGTCCACAGCCTCCGGGGTTCTGTCTGCTGGCATCACCGCTGACACCTCCGTTCCCAGCTGCCCCACCCTACGCTTCAGACGCCATGAACGTTCCTTGCACTAAGGTACAGAAAGACCCCATGGCCACTTGTCCTGTGAGAGAGTGTTGCTGGGGCAGGGGGATAGGAGGCAAGGAGTAGGGGAAGGTCTCTCTCTTCCTCTGGGCTCTGAGGCAAGAAGCTTGGTACACGCCCAGCTTCTGACCCGCACTGTTCTTCTGGGCCCACTCTCTTTGGGCAGCTACTATGAGATAAGTGTCATGTCTTCACCTGTCAGCACGCTTCACTCTGGCAGCAGGATGCCCTGCCCAGCTGAAACTGCTTTATACCCAGTTCACAGGTGAGGCAGCAAGACAGGGAAATGTACAAAGCCAAGGGGTTCAACTCAGCAGCTCGTAGTGCACCCAGCAGCCGATCTCCATCTTCTGGGTTGGCCAGCTGTGGAGAGGGGTGAGCACAGGAATCTCACTAGGAGACGGAGGAAAACGGTATCCAGAGCCAGAGATTCATTCTGCCCCAAAGGAAATCTCCAAAAGCTTCCGGGAGGAGATGTCCTGTTGAGTCTTGAAGGATGAGCAAAGGAAGTGGACACAAGCTTTTCTCTATCAAAGAGAAGGGTCCAAACGGTCCTGTCTTGCCCCCCACAGGTCTCCTGGGCTGCTGTGACCCTCCTGCTGCTGCTCCTGCTGCTGCCGCCCGCTCTCCTGTCGCCTGGGGCAGCTGCGCAGCCCCTGCCTGATTGCTGCCGCCAGAAGACATGCTCGTGCCGCCTTTACGAGCTGCTGCATGGCGCAGGCAACCACGCCGCGGGTATCCTCACGCTGGGCAAGCGGCGGCCAGGACCTGCGGGGCTGCAGGGCCGGCTGCAGCGCCTCTTGCAGGCCAGCGGCAACCACGCGGCCGGCATCCTGACCATGGGCCGCCGGGCAGGTGCAGAGCCTGCGCCACGTCCCTGTCCTGGCAGCCGCTGTCTCGCTGTGGTCCCCACGGCCTTGGCGCCACGTTCTGGGATCTGAGTCCTTCCTAGGCCCCGCGCTCTCCACCTTTTGCTCCCAAATAAAGACGACTCTCCCTCCCGTGTGTGCCTGGTGTCTCTGTCCTTTGTGGGGTCGCGTCCAGCCCTCTAGGGGAGCAAGAGCCACACATCTGGCAGGGACTGGCACTGGTTAGGGGAGCATCATGGCAATAAGAGGACCGCCTCTGTGGGTGCTTGGTAGGAAGGCTGCACAACAGACGCTCCCTGACAGGAGCTAAGACCTGGGAGGGGACCCACAGATCCTCAAGAAAAGACGGCAAGGATGATTGCCCCCAGGAACGGGAATTCAGCCTGCAAGGCGATGCGGGGGAGACATGGGGGTGGGCGTGGGAGTGCTGCTGTGTGGGGTACAGGGCGGGAAGTGGCACCCTATGGGCGGATGATGGCTCTCACCACTCATCATCAGGCCTTATACTCTGTCCCTAGGAAACGAGGAGGCATAGCAACTACTTAGGCGAGGATAAGGCAAGGTTTTCCTATAACACCTGCTCTCCCTCCACCCCTTCACGCTCAAGCCTTAACTCCTAGCCCTGCCCAGCAGGACGCCAGGTTAGGGAGGAAGGTGGGTGTGGGTGTAATGAATTGGGATGAGATATGCAAGAATAATCTATGGGGACAGGTACCCTTAGGAAACTGGTGAAGATCTGCCAGCCAAGGGCTGCAGTTCCCTGCCCCACCACATGGGGGGCAGATCTTCCCTCTCACAGCCCCGTCTTCTCCACCTTGGTCTTGGTTGGACTTGGGGAGTCCAGCACTGTGAGAACAGAGATGGTTGCCTCTGGCACCTGCCTTCTGTGCAGCTCTGTTCTCTGGCCAAGCAGGAGGAATCTGACAAGGCCCCAGGAAACTCACAAGGCCAGAAGTGAAGGGGCAGAAAGAAGAGGCCCTGGTGAAGAATCTGAAATCCCAGACACTGTCCAGCACAGACAGTGGACTGTGAGAGGGAAGGCAGGTAGCCTGCCCTCTTGCAGACCTGCTTTCCACTCCGGCTATTTTGTCTCTGGAAGAAGCCAGCCCCCCGCAGCCACAGCACTCAGCTGCCTCGGTGGTTTTCAAGTCCTTGTGTCTGATCCTACCCAGGTTTTGCTTGCTAGAGATCAAAGTCCATGTGTGTGTCCCTGGGGACTTGCAAACCCTTGTGTTGCCCACCTAGAAACTTCCTCAGTCCCAAACCTGCCTCGTGTACCACTTACACTTGAAATGTGGTAGAGGGGCCAGCATTGTGGTATGGTGTATAAATCCAGTACTTTCAGGACTCTTACCCCAGATAGGCACCAGTTCGAGTCCTGGCTGCTCCATTTCTGATCCACTTCCCTGCTATAATGCACCTGGGAAAGTAGTAGAAGATGGCCCAAATGTTCGGGTTGCTGCTACCCCCCATGGGAGGTCCTGAAGAACTCTCAGGCTCCTGGCTTCAGCCTGGCCCAGCCTTGGCTGATGTGGCTCTTTAGGAGTGAAACAGCAAATGAGAACTCTCTCTCTTTCTCTATAACTTCGCCTTCCAAATCAAAATCTTTAAGGGGAAAAATGGTGGCAGAGAGGAGAGTGTGAACAAGACTGAATGTGGGGAGCGGGGAACAGAGAGGCACCATAATAGATGCACACAACTAGCAGAGGAGAGAATTCATCAATTATGTCCATGTTGCAGATGTGGCTGAAGAAGCCAAGTCACACGCTCAACACCCGGAGGTAGCCTCGGCCAGGGTGCAGGGCACAGGGCACAGAGGCCAATGCTTCCTCCAAGCCAGGGTTCCCAGCCTCCCAGTCCTACCCTCCCTCTACCTCTCCCACAAAACACCGCGACTCCAGCAGGCGGCGCTGTGCGCCAGACGCCGGCGCCCGCGTGGGCGGCGCGCGGGGAAACCCGCGAGGTGGAGCCGCCAGGGCGGCACGCGTGGGGGCGTGGCCTCGTCTGGAAGGGGGCGTGTCTCGGCGCCAGGCCCCTCCCGATGGGCGTGTCTCCAAGACTCTCCCCGAGAGACACGCGTGGGCCGCTCCCCGGTGCGAGGCAGGCTGCCGAGGGGGGTGCGGGTGTCGGCCGGGCCCCTCCCCGTGCGGGGCCACGTGGCGGGCTCAGCCCGCGGGGAAGAGCCTGACCCGTGGGGAGCTGCCGGCAGTGAGGCGGCGGCGGCGGCGAGCGGGAGGCCAGCGGGCGGGCGCATGGGGCGCCCCCTCCGGCCCGGCCGCGCTGAACGCTCCCTGGCGCCGCACCTCGGACCCGCGACCCGGGGCCATGCCGGTCATGAAGGGGTTACTGGCCCCCCAAAACACTTTCCTGGACACCATCGCCACCCGCTTTGACGGCACGCGTGAGTGGGGCAGAGGCTGGGGCTGCAGCTTTGGAGCTCGGGGCCAAGTCTCCGGGATGTGGTGAAGAGAGAGTTGAGGGTCCAGGACGGCCTGCAAGCCGTGGCTGAGGCGCGGGGCAGGGCGGAGGAGGGGAGAGGGAAGGAGAGGGGTCCCCCTGAGGGCTCGGGTAGGGGGTGTGACTCGAGACACAAGAGGCTTCCCTCCTCAGGGCCGGGGGAGGGGGCGGGCATCCGAGGCAAGAGTGGGACGAAGAGGCCGAGCGTCCTAGGGCTTGCACCTGCACCCTCCCCACCCAGGGAAAGAAATCAGGAAAACTGGATTTGGCGGGACCCAGCTGGGATTGGGGTCCCGAGACCCCACACTGCGGGTGAGGCGGGGCGGCGGAGGGAACTCGGGCTCGCCCACCGGGGCTCCCGCGCGGGTCCCAGTTCAGCACCTTGGACAGCCGCTGGCTCCCTCCCTGCCTCCTCTCCCGCCATTCCCTCTGCCCACTGTGGTGCAGAAATCCCCTCCCGCCCCCCTGGGGAGCCTGGGGCCAGGAGCAGTATACCCCAGGGGCGGAAACCGAGCCAAGGGGCCCTCCTCGCCTCTCCACCCTCCCTCTAACACACACACACACACACACACACACACACACACACACACACACACACACACCTCCTTGTTTCCATAGCACCCATCACCAGGGCAACCAGGGCCCTGGGATGGGAAAAGGAGGCTGCGCCCAGGGCCTAGAGCCACCCAGCACCCTGATGTGTATCCCCTCCCCAGCCACCCTTACTGAGTGCCCCAGAACCGACTGTATCTCAGGCCCCCTTGTCAGGGTGAGCGTGCCTCCCCAGGGGTCCTCAGCACCTCCCATTGGAGCTGGAGCCAGCTCAGGGGTCACACGGTGCCTTCTCCTGGGTGACTTTGAGCCCTGTGGACTGATTCCCTGAAAATAGCTAAAGGAATAGGAAAAGGTGGGCCTTGCCTCAGACGCTGAGAACCAGGAGCAGCATTTTACAGGGTACATCACCCCCACACTAAGGAGATGCGTGAGTGAGGGTTCTGCAGCTGTGAGACCAGCAGAATCTTGGCTTGCTGTGCATCAGGACAGCGCAATGGTGGGGCACATGGTAGGGAGTCTTCTCACCTTCTCCAAGCCCTGATTCCTGTTGCCAGGATATGTGTGCCCCAGGTGAACTGATGTAACTCTTGCCACCATGCCAGGACGGTGTGTTATGCCCCACTTGGCTGAGAAGGAGGCTAAGGGCCAGAAGGGCTGGTTAACTTGCCTAAAGCTACGCAGTCCTCAAGTGGCAGGACAGGGGCTTTGGGGCCCAATGCAAAAAAAAAAAAAAAAAAACAGTGAGCCTGGTATGATGGCTCAATGGCTTAATCCTCACCCCGCGAGTGCCAGGATCCCATACGAGCTGGTTTGTGCCCCAACTGCTCCACTTCCATCCAATTCCTGACTGTGGCCTGGGAAGGCAATTGAGGACAGCCCAAAACCTTGGGACCCTGCACCCATGTCAGAGACCCAGAAGAAGCTTCTGGCTCCTGGCTTTGGATCAGCTCAGCTCTAACTGTTGTGGTTACTCGGGGAGTGAACCAGCAGATGGTTCTCTCTATCTCTCCTTCTCTCTGTAAATCTAATCTACCTTTAAAAAATAAATAAGTAAATCTTTATATCTGAAAGGCAGAGTTAGAGAGAGGGAGAGAAAGAGTATGAGATCTTCCATCTGCTAGTTCACTCGCCTAGTGGGTCCATGCAGGTCTTCTATGGAGTGGCAGGGGCTCAAGCACTTGGGTCATCCTCTGCTGCTTTCCAAGCATTGCTAGATCTGAAGTGGGGCAGCAGGACTCGAACCAGCACTCACAAGGGATGCTGGTGTTACCGCGGCAGCCTAACTTACTGTGCCACGATGCTGGCTCAGGCCCATCTCCAAGCGTGCTGTATTGACTTCGCCAGCCAGGCTTCATGGACTGGCAGTTGGGAGATGGTTTACAAAGTCTCCGGGGGCTTAGGTTCTTCCTGCAATTTCCCATGCCTTGGGTCCTTTTCCCTTGATCATCTCCTCTCTCATTCCAGAATATTCCCAAGGGGTCAGGAAATCTGCCAATGCCTGAGAAAGTTCCCGCTGGGACCACATCTTGGAGAAAGTGCTGTCTACTTGCTAGTTCTCCTCCTGGCCTTATCTTGACCTAGCCCTCTCCCTCCACAGACAGCAACTTCCTGCTGGCCAACGCACAGGGCCCACGGGGCTTTCCCATCGTCTATTGCTCCGACGGCTTCTGCGAGCTCACGGGCTACGGCCGCACCGAGGTCATGCAGAAGACCTGCAGCTGCCGCTTCCTCTACGGCCCAGAGACCAGCGAGCCGGCCCTGCAGCGGCTGCACAAGGCCCTGGAGGGCCAGCAGGAGCACCGCGCTGAAATCTGTTTCTACCGCAAGGATGGTGAGGGGTCCTACAGCCCTGCCTGCACCCCAGAGTCTGCTGCCCCTCCCATGCTACCGCAAAAACTGGCTGTGTGACGGAGGACCCCCCCAGCCCTCTCTGGCCACCGATTTCTGTCTCCCAGACCTGTCTGGAAAATGAAGGCATCAGGCTGGTAGATTCTGGGGGTCTTTCCAGCTGCCAAGCCCCCTGGGCCTGCCCAGCAAACCCCCGCTCCCCTGCCCAGGTTGCTCACTGCCTCCTGCCTTTCTCACGGCTGCAGGCTCCGCCTTCTGGTGCCTCCTGGACATGATGCCCATCAAGAATGAGATGGGGGATGTTGTGCTGTTCCTCTTCTCCTTCAAGGACATCACTCACACAGGAGGCCCAGGACTTGGCACCCCAGGAGGCCATGGGGACAGTAACCACGGTAACCGCAAGGCTGGGCAGGCAACATGGGAATCGCCAGAGGTCCTTGGCCAAGGTCACATGGGGCCTCTCCCCACCTGGCTACAGCGTGAGCCGACCTCCACATCCTCTGTTGCCCACAGAAAACTCCCATGGTCGGAGGGGAGCTGGCTCGAAACTGCAGTCCGCCAGGAGGCAGGGTCGCACTGTTTTCCACCGGCTCACTGGCCACTTTGGCCGTAGGACACAGGCAGGCATGAAGACCAATAACGTGAGTCCCAGTCCTGTCCTGGCATCCCCTGAGTCCTCCTGCTGCCTAGGCCGGGGCCACCTCTGCTGCTGCTGCTGCTCCCCCATTCCTCCTGGGCCTTCCTCCTGCCTACTGGCTGCCAGCCACTGGTTTGCTCCCCTCCATGTCCTTCCACAACTCCTACCAGCCCAATCTCCCTTGCTACTGCAGTTGATTGACATATTGACATCGCTCTGCTCTGATGCTGGCACGAGGGCGGGGCCCTGGAAACAGTGTCACACCACCCACATCAAGGTTATACGGGGTTGTGCTGTGCTCCTGGGGAGAAAACCCCACCCCTGTGAAGGGCCCAGCCTTTAGCCCCATGCACTCCCTCCTAGGACTCTGCCACAGCCAGAGGATGGAGAATTCCACCCTCTGCAGGGGAGGGTCGGTCAGCTTCGCCTTCCCGTGGGAAACATGTACCCACCCAGCAAGACCCCTAAGACCCAGGAAGGACTTGACAGAGAAGTCAGTAACCCCTGAAGCTAGGCTGTGTGCCTGATGTATCATAATTTTTTAGTACTTTGGGGGTCAATAAACTCCCCAAACATGTGATTGGATCATCAGGGGGCCTGGGCAGGAAGTCATGCAGGAAGGAAAACATGGCAGTGCCAGCCTCAACTCCCTCTCCCTCACCTTCTGCCTCCTCTCCCCTCGCAGTGCCCGCTTCCCACTTTGCTCTTCTGCTGCTTCTCCCTCCCCCACCCCCACCAAGCTGTGACTCCTCTGTCCCCCAAGTGTCCCCAATGGCCACCCCTCTCCCCTTAGAACGTGTTTGAGCCAAAGCCATCAGTGCCTGAGTACAAAGTGGCCTCCGTGGGGGGGTCCCGCTGCCTCCTCCTCCACTACAGCGTCCCCAAGGCCATCTGGGACGGCCTCATCCTGCTCGCCACCTTCTACGTCGCGGTCACCGTGCCCTACAACGTCTGCTTCGCGGAGGACGACGACAGCCCCATCACCTCCCGACACACTCTCGTCAGCGACATCGCTGTGGAGATGCTCTTCATCTTGGGTCAGACTCTTTGCCTCCCCACTGCCCGGTGACCTCGGGTGACCTTCTCAGCCAAGCCCCACTCCCTGCTTGGCCTGCCGCACCCAGGCGGTTCAAGCCCATCCCGGCCTGTGTGCCCCAGGCCCCTTCAGCCTGCATCCTTATGCCCTTTCTCCCTGAGGTCAAACCAGCCACACTGACCCTCTCTCTCCCACAACTTCCTCCTCTTCCGTAGCTTGTCCAGTTTCAGGGCCCTTTGGATTGAGTCTCCAGGCCCCTCCCGCCACCAGTAACAGCCTCTTGCACCCCCAGATATCATCCTGAATTTCCGCACCACCTACGTGTCCCAGTCTGGCCAGGTCATCTCTGCCCCTCGTTCCATTGGCCTCCACTACTTGGCCACCTGGTTCTTCGTCGACCTTATTGCTGCCCTGCCCTTTGACCTGCTTTATGTCTTCAACATCACTGTGGTGAGTGACTCCCTGTCACCCCAGATCCCACCATGCAACCTCACCTCTCCCATGAAGGGGCTGAGCACCCAGACCAAAGCCTTTCCCCTTAGTCTGCACCTGCTGTAGGTGTGGCCTTGGGCTAGGTGCTGGGAGGGACCCGAGAGTGTTTGTGCCCGAGAGCTGGGCGCACGATGTCTGAGGGAAGCTGAGACAAATGCAAAGCTAACTATGGCTACCAAGGCAGAGTTGGTCTGGCGCCAAGCGAGTGGTACTTTTCACATTTTTATTTAACAAACAACTGATGAGCATTTGGCTGGCTGCAAAGCACTCTGTGGGGCATGGTCACTGCAGAGGAAAGACACGAGGGGGCCTCAGCTGGCGAGCAGCAGGGACTGGGACAGGGAGAACCTCAGCAAAGGAGAAGGGGAGTGGCAGGTGCAGCCCAGGTATCACCACCTGGGCGCAGTGCTGCAACATGAGCCTGTACTGAGAGGACCTGAGAGCAGGCCAGTGCTGGAGAGGCCATGGTACCCCAGTGGGGCCAAGGCTGGGTTGGGGTGAAGGATGTGGGAGCAGAGCTGGACCTCCAGTGGGGAGGAACTTTGGAGGGAGATGGGACATTGCAGGGAGCACTGTTATGTCAAGATGAGGAGGGAGAGAGTGTGCTTGTGTGTTGCTAGGAGAGGGTTGGATTCGGAGGGAGAGGAAGCCAGGACCTATGTCCTTGCAGTTCCCTGGGGACTTTCTGGAGGCGCCTGAATGGTCTGCCCTGGACCTGGACAGCAGAGTTCAAGTTCAGGGCGAGGCAGACCCATCCTGTGTCCCCAGACCCCCTCAGCTGTGAGAGGGGAGGTGGAGAGAGGCTTCCTTGTGTGTTCTCCCTGCCGCTCTCAGCTATAGCAGGAAACCACCTACACGCAGCCAGATTTAACTAGCCGCCGACGGGCTGCGGGCCTTGGCTCCTGCCTGTTCACACGTGTGTGCACACTCACACACACGTGCAGGTGTGTCCATCTGTCCTCTGGCCAGCATGAGCGCAGCCCTTCACTCCTCCATGTGGGGTGGGGAGTGCCCCCTCCTGCCCACAGGGGTGTCAGGTGGACAGAGGCTGTTCTTGGGGGAGAGGGGACACTATGGCAGCCCTTTTCTTTTGCTTCCCATGGGCCTTTGAAAGTACTTGATGGTCACTGCGCTCCTCCAGTCATATCATCACATGGGAGCCTTGCAGTAATCCCGCAGGGAAGGTTCTCGCATCCTTTCTCAGAGGTAGTTGCAGAGGCTCAGCGAGGTTAAGTGGTTTGCTGAACATCACACAGCTAGCAGTGGCATACAAGAGATTAATAGCAGATCTCCCGGTCCTAGTCTAGCTTTCTTTCTAACATATCCCCCTGCCTGCCAGGTAAGCAGATCACCTGAGTGAATGGTCTGATTTAGGAGGTGATGAGAGGCCAGATGGGAGGCTGGGGGGAGGCAGAGCAGACTCAGAGGATGAGCAGGCTCTGGCCGAGCTGTGGGCTTGAGGACAGGGCCTGTCACATTCGAGGTCAAAGAGAATGAGTGGGGCCTGGTGCTGGATGCACCCCAGCTGGGACTGCCGGTTCAAGTCCTAATTGTTTCAGCTCCTTGCTGATGCACCTGGGAAGGTAGCAGGGGTGTCCTAAGGGCTTGTGTGCCTACCCCGAGTAACATACAGGTATGGAGCTCCTGGCTCCAGGCTTCAACTGGCCTTGCCCCAGCCACTGCAGCTATTTGGGAGGTGAACCAATGGATATAAGATCTCTCTCTCTGTATTATTCTGCCTTTAATTACATTTGTTTTCTAAGGGGGGGGGAGAAAGAAAGGAGACTGAGAAGAGGTACCTAAGGGTGAGGTGGGGGGTCCCTGAAGGATTAGAGTTTGGAGCCAGGAGCTCTGGGAGCTACGGGGCAGGGCTCCACTAAGCCCTGAACGGGGGTCTTTGCAGAGAAATCAGCACCTTCTCTCTGGCTCCTTCCCCTGAAAGTGGACTAAATGCCGAGGTGGTTTAGCAGCAGTATGTACTCTAAGCTATGGGGCAGGGTATAGCCCTGTGGTCCCCTGCAGGACTTGGGAGTGGTCGTGGGGACCTTCCCCCCAGGCTCCTCAGGCAGGTGCTGCCCCCAGACACATACCTGATTCATCCCACCAAGAGCAGTATGATGGAAACAGTGGTCGGGGCTGTGTGGCGAAACCTCATAGGGTCCTGGCCTGCTCTGCTTAAACCCTCAGGCCCTGGCACAGGCTCTGCTCTTTTGCCCATTGGGGGGTTCCCAGAGGGGAGGGTCCCAGCTTCTTGCATGCCTCAGACCCCTTGCCTGTTCCCATCTCCACTCTGATGCTCCACGTCTCATGCCATGGCCTGCAGCACAGGTGCTGCTGTCACCAATGAACAGCTCTTGTCCCTAGCTGACTGTGTTAAGGCCTCTAAGCAAGCATCTTTCCCTGTCCCCTCCTAGCTCCCCCATCACAGCATGGCACCAAGCCCGAGGGTGGCACCAGTCAGCCCAGATGGACTCCTAGCTCCTCCTTTCCTTGGTCTAGGACCTTGAGTAAGCCACTGGCCTCTGGGTGTCTTATTTTATTCTTCTGCAAATGATTGGGAAGGATGATGATTTTTTATTCTCTTTCTGAGGACTGCAATTGCTTAAGGAGGGACAGGTGGGGGCGGGGACACTTTCTCAGGACAGCAGCTATGTCTGTGTCAGCCTCCCCTGGCTCCCTGGACTCTAGGGTGTCTGGTGGAAGGGTCCAGAGGTGTATCTACCTGCTGCCAGCCTGCCCGGCCTTTCTCCCGCAGACCTCGCTGGTGCACCTGCTGAAGACAGTGCGGCTGCTGCGGTTGTTGCGGCTGCTGCAGAAGCTGGAGCGGTACTCGCAGTGCAGCGCGGTGGTGCTCACGCTGCTCATGTCTGTCTTTGCCCTCCTTGCCCACTGGATGGCCTGCATCTGGTACGTCATCGGGCGCCGGGAGATGGAAGCCCATGATCCGCTGCTCTGGGACATCGGTGAGCCACCGACCCCAGACTTTGCTCCCATCCTTTCCCCCTAGTGGATGCCACGGCAGGGGGGGGGGGGGGACCTGGAGGAGAAGCCAGACCAGGTGCGTCAAGTGCAGCAGCACTGTGATGGGGGAGGCGTGCTGGGGGCAGATGGAAGCCACCTACAAAGGCTCAGGAGCCTCATGGGTCCTCTCCCTGCCCCCTCAATCCCTCCTTCTCTAAAAGCCCAGAGGCCAGGAAGACCAGGGCCTCTAATATCCCCCCAGCAAGGCAGCTCAGCCTTCAGACACTGTCCTCACCCCATCCCCTCCTCTATCCCACACCTAGCCCAGCCCATCCATGCCATCTCTCCTATGGCACTGGTGGTAGCTTCTCAGCCCCACCCACCCACCTCCTCCCTGCAGCCCAGCTGACCTGCCTCACTCTGCCTGACCGCTCTCATTGCTGACTCTCCCTTCACACACACACAGGGTACACCCTGGGCCCTCTGGGTCCCGCCTCCTCCACTTCTCCCATGCTCCCTGCAAGCTGGCCGCACTGGTCTGTCTGCTGCACGTAGGCCATGCTCTCCTCTTCCCTGAAGTCCCCCCTCTTGTATCTGCCTTCCCTTCTTCACCTAGGTGCCTTTTCTGATCCTTACACTCTCAAGTCACTTGGCCTTGTCCTCAGGAAGCCGCACGGCCACCCTGCTTCAGTGGACTGACTCTCCCTGGCCTGTTAGGACTCCTAGCAGTGATTTTCAGTAACTCACCTCCCACATGCAATGACTTGTCTCCGGACTTGGGGCCCCTCCAGGCTATAAATCTGCCCCAGGGCAGGGGAGGTGCTCGGGAGGCACACAGTCCCATAGGAGGATCCAAGGGAGCTGGCAGCTTTGGTGCTGCAACTGTAACCAAGCCCAGCACAGCGCTGTGCTGCTCCCACTTGTGATAACTGGTGCCTGCCTGCAGACCCGAACTGGTGCCTGCCTGCAGACCCGACCTCGCCTAAGTCAATACTGACCCAAGGTCGAGGGTGGGGGCAACTCTGGGGACCCAAGCTGCACACGCCTCCAAAGTCAGGGCCTCCTCTTCCCTGCTTCCTTCCTCTTTGGCAGGCTGGTTGCACGAGCTGGGCAAGCGGCTGGAGGTGCCCTATGTGAACGGCTCGGCCGGAGGCCCCAGCCGGCGCAGCGCCTACATCGCAGCACTCTACTTCACGCTCAGCAGCCTCACCAGCGTGGGTTTCGGCAACGTGTGTGCCAACACGGACGCTGAGAAGATCTTCTCCATCTGCACCATGCTCATAGGCGGTGAGGCAGGGGGCCCAGGACGCCTGCAGTGTGCATGGGGGAAACGGGGACCCGTCCATCCGTGGCGCCCATTAAATCCGGGGTGAAGGGGCACATTTGCTCTCTGAGGTTTCCTCGCTGCCCACTCTGCTATCCCTGGGGGATGCCACAAACAGGCACAGCCTTTGAGTGAGCTCAAGAACCAGAGGTTGTGATCTAATGGGAGTGGAATGGGGAATTGGTCTCAGGACACCAGGTAGATCCTCGGAGTCCGGGGGCTGTGGGTGGCCCCTGACGCCACGCTCCCCGCAGCGCTGATGCACGCCGTGGTGTTCGGCAACGTGACGGCCATCATCCAGCGCATGTACTCGCGCCGCTCGCTCTACCACAGCCGCATGAAGGACCTCAAGGACTTCATCCGCGTGCACCGCCTGCCGCGGCCGCTCAAGCAGCGCATGCTAGAGTACTTTCAGACCACGTGGGCTGTCAACAGCGGCATCGATTCCAACGAGGTAGTGCGTCAACAAGGTAGTGCGTGGGGTGTGGCAGGGAAGGGAAGAAGAAGCCCACGTGGCCTATGGAGGCCAGGCACTGTCCAACAGAGTCACTCGGCCACCCAAATCCAGTCCCTTTGCCTTTGGGCCTGAGTAAGGGAGCTGAAAGGGCCTCTGTCTTCTCCTCACGCCATTCCCTGAAGCACCTGCTAAGTGCCAACCTCAGGCAGCTTCAAGCGGCTCAGAGATGACCACATAAAGCCTTACCCCCCATGGAGACCCTGGCCAGGCAGCCCTTGTTGTGTCTGGGCTCTGAGGAGCCAAAGAAGGTGGCCCAGAGGAGGGGACATGGTAAAGGACAAAAACAGACTTGGTCAAATAGCAGATGCAAGCCTGGCAGGGTGATGTAGGAAGCTGCAGAGTGCAGTGAGCTCCCTGGGGTTGAAAAGACCCAGTTCCCGCCTCAGGAATGGGACTGGCAGGTGGACAGAAGACCCAGTCCCCGTCCCCAGGGATTGGGCCCGTCAGGTGGACAACAGCAGCCAGGCCAAGGTCAGACAGGCAGAAGTCTTCCTGGAAGCCTTGAACTGGGGATCTCCAAGCAGAGGGTACCTAGTAGCTGGTCTCCACAGAGGCAGTTGAGCACACACTGTAGCCTCTGGTGGACACTGCAGGGGGATGGCCGCAAGGACTTCTTTCCCTTATGCAGTTACTGCGTGACTTCCCGGACGAGCTGAGAGCAGACATTGCCATGCACTTGAATCGGGAGATCCTGCAGTTGCCGCTGTTTGGAGCAGCGAGCAGGGGCTGCCTGCGGGCTCTCTCCCTGCACATCAAGGCTTCGTTTTGTGCTCCGGGCGAGTACCTGCTGCGCCATGGGGATGCTCTGCAGGCCCACTACTATGTGTGCTCCGGCTCTCTCGAGGTGCTCCGGGACAATATGGTGCTGGCCATCCTGGGTGAGGACCCCCACCCTGGAGCCCTCCCCTCTGCAGCCAGGAATGGGGTGCCTTTTGGGGGGTGCTTGGGGTGCCAGTGTCTTGGTCCCTTTGCCCTCTGTCCATCCCCTGTTAGCAATCCCCAGCCTCCCTGGCCATGCCTCCATCCTGGCCTGTGGCTGGATCCCAGCTTGGAGCATGCTCAGTTGTGCCTTCTCCTAACTTTGTTGTCTTCCTCCAACTCCCCTCCCCTCCATTGTTCTTAACCCTCTGGCTGATTCCTTTGGTCTCCCCTCCCTGCTTCATTTTGTCCCATCCATCATCCCCCACCCCAGCTCCATCCACTGCTTCCACAGTCCCCGTTGACTGAGCCCTTGTGCATGCCAACCACTGCCTGCCTCTTCCCTCTTGCCCTGGCTGGCTGACAGGCTCCACCCCTTACACCCTGCAGGGAAGGGGGACCTGATTGGAGCAGACATGCCCGAGGCCGGGCCTGAGCCTCGGGCTGGGGCCCGCTGTGTGCTCAAGACCAGCGCTGACGTGAAGGCGCTGACCTACTGTGGCCTGCAGCAGCTGAGCAGCCGGGGGCTGGCCGAGGTCCTGCGGCTCTACCCCGAGTACAGGACCGCCTTCCGGGCCGGCTTGCTCCGGGATCTCACCTTCAACCTGCGCCAGGGCTGCGACACCAATGTACGCAGGGTTTCCCATTCCAAGGGCCCTTCCTTCCAAACAGACCTCTCGCAACCCCACGCCAGCCCCAGGAAGCTTCATTCCTCAGCCCTGGGCATGTTCTTCCATCGCCCCTTCCCTGCTCAGCAGCTCCCAGCCCCACCCTGTTCAGCCCCCTGGACAACCCGCCCATCCACAAAGGGCACCTCACAGCCTCCCTCCAGACCTCTCCCTTTGCACACAGTCCCTGCCTGGGAGTCCTCTCCTCCCCTCCCCCAGCCCTTTCCGGAGCCCACTCTGTTTTAGGCTCATGACCGAGTCTGTCCTTCGCACTCTAGGCCTTGGTCCCTTGTGACTTTTTCAGATCTGGTGGGGTTACACCTTTTCGCAGTGGGTGGGGTCACCTCCAGAAGAGGGCCCACCTTCTCATTCTTTCCTCCCCACTTCCCTCCTGCTGTTGAGGGCACTGTGAGGGATTGCCCCAGGGCAGGGGGTGGTGGGAATGGATTTGAACCTTCATCTGTCCCCACAGGGTCTTGGGCGCCTCTCCCGATCCCCTCGCCTCTCCCAGGTATCACTGCCTGCCTGGGTCGGGGTGGGGGTGGAGGCGGGAGGCAACGTTCCTGGTTCCTCAGCTCCTGCTGGGAAAGCCACCCCATACAGTGACACCTGCCACCTGCTCTGCCCACAGCCCCACTTGGAAAGCCTTGGCTCCTCCTCAGAGAAGACCCTGCCATCCGTCACAGAAGCCGTGACGGGTGATGAGCCCGGAGCTGGTTCTAGGCCACGCCGGCCCCTCCTGCTGCCCAACCTCAGCCCTGCACAGCCTCGGGGCTCCCTGGTCAGCCTTTTGGGCGAGGAGCTGCCCCCGTTCTCAGCCCTAATCTCCTCTCCTTCCCTGTCCCCATCCCCCTCCCCTGCCCTGGCTGGCCGGGGCCACAGCCCCTCCTCTCAAGGCCCTGTCAGGTGCTCTGCTGCCTGGAAGCCTCCCCAGCTTCTCATTCCCCCACTGGGAACCTTTGGACCTCCGGACCTCAGTCCCCGGTGAGACGCCAGCCTCCTTTACCTCCCGTGCACCCCCACTGGTTTCCAGAACCTTCTCTGGGCTCCCTCCCCAGTCTTCCATTCAGTACTCCTTCTGGGCCCCCTACTTCCAGCCACGCTTTGCAGCTCCATCCTGTTTCGCCTGCTACATTTCCCCAGCTCCCTGGCAATGCTGCCCCCACTCGCCCTTTGCCAGCTGTGCTCTGGCCCCTTCCCTCCCACCCCATCTTCACCCCATGGTGCTGATGTGTACTGCCTGGTCCCCAGGATAGTGGATGGCATTGAGGACTCTGGCAGCACAGCCGAGGCCCCCACCTTCCGGTTCAGCAGACGGCCTGAGCTTCCAAAGGCTCGCTCCCAGGTCCCTCCTGCAGGTAAGAGCCTCATAGTAAACTTGAGCGCACAGCTAGCTACTCATAGTCAGAGCCTATCACATAGTAGGTGCCATGCTTAGAACGCAAGTAGAAGCCAGACTTGGCCCCTGCTCTTGGTGAGCCCTGGGCCTGGTGGTGGGTGAGACACCTGTGGGCACAGGTAAATGGTGTCAGCTGGCCACGACCAGACGAGAACAGGACTCTGGGAGGGTGCCCCAGCCGTGCCTCCTGGGGGAGATGGATGCTGGGTTACAGAGTTTCCTACCTCTTTGTCTCCAGAGCTCCCTCTCCCCTTGTTGTCTGCCTGCCCAGTGCAGGGGTGACCCAGCATCCCCTCCCCTACAGGGACCAAGCCCAGTCGGGAGTTGGCCATGGAAGCTGAAGAAGTCCAGGAGAAAGTCTGCAGGCTGAACCAGGAGGTGGGTGCAGCCACTGGTCTGGGACTTGTGTCCCAGCAGGAAGTGGGTCAGGTTCTGCAGCCAGAGTTCATGGGGCAGACATTTCTGCTTGCTGATGCTTTGGGCAAAGCCCTGAACTAAATGGAAGATGAGCAAAAAACCCATATATTCTCCCCAACGTGGTCAGAAGCAAGGAGAACCTGATAGTGCCGACTGCAGCCCCTGGCATATCACCAGTGCCCAGGACTAGTTGGTTCCCTTCCTCTCAATTGGCTCCAGGGTGCCAACCAGGAAAGCAGACCCAACTGTCTCCACCCCTGTGGTGGCACAGGTTTCTCTTGCCACCAAGCCAGGGTGCTCACCCCAATGGGGCTGGGACAGGAGACAGGGAGGAGGTGAGGACCTAGAGGTAGGCTGCTCATCCTGGCTGGGAGGAGGCTGGGTCCTGTATTCTGAGCTGCTGCCTTTGCCTGCTTGATCTCAAGGGACCTCAGAGCTGTCGCCACAGAGTAGAGCCCCAGGGAGTCACTCAGTGGCTTTTCCTGTACTCTGATATACAGCGGATGGCCCATAGGGGCCAGGTTGAAGAGCATGTCCAGCTTGTCCTCGCTGCAGTCCTTCTAGGCCAGTGGGTCACTATCTTGGCTGTTGGCCTAAACCCACCTGAGAACCCTTCTTACAAAAATACACATTCCAGGGTGCCCCCTGATTGGGAATGTCTGGGGATGGGACCCGGAAATCTGCATTTTGACAAGCATCTTGGTGGACTCTGTGCTCACCAAAGTGTGGACAGCCGCTGACGTGGATGCTGTGGCCTGGGTGATGGAGTCCCTGAGAGTTGGGGCCACACCCCTTGCCCCAAGCTGGTGGCCTCTTCAAGCACCTGTTTCAATATCTTGCAAGAATTGCGGGTATATCTGCAACTGAGCAATATCTACTGTCCCACATTCCTTTTGGAAAGAGCCTGGAGTACTTCTACTTAGGCTCAATGCCCTGCCTTCTTCCCAGGGCAGCAGTGGGAAGAGAGGTGAAAGAGCTCTGCAAACTGTAGAGGGGCGTTCACAGGGTTGCTGATGAAACAGCTTGCTCTGTTCTCCACAGATCTGCCGCCTCAACCAGGAAGTGGCTCAGCTGAGCCGGGAGCTACGCCACATGATGGGGCTGCTGCAGGCCAGACTGGGGGTCCCACGACACATGGCAGGCTCAGCTTGGCCCCCCCAGTTTCCTTGCCACCAGCAGAGGCCAGCCTGTGTGTCTCCATGTAGCTCGCTCCCACCACCTGGCCTCCAAGATACTACGCTGGCTGAAGTCCACTGCTCAGCTGGTGTGGGAGCAGCAGGCATGCTGGCCACGCCCCCGAGACCTTCCATGCTGCCCCCCAGCACCTCAGAACCTGACCCTCTGGGAGTCTCCCTAATGCCAGAGGCCTCTGCCCAATGCCCCGGCTTCTTGAGGCCCAGCTTCCGATCCAGATCTGACACCTTCCACTGACCCTGGCCCCGGGGCCCAGGCCTGTCTGGGGTGGGCATTGCTGCCTGCCGTCTGAGGAGGAGCTGGGCCCCTCGGCCTCCTGCCTGGAGGTCAGCAGCCTCCAGCTGGCCTGGATGGCTCCAGATTCTCTGGACTTTGTAACGAGGCCTGGCTGCCTCTGATCCCAGATCCCGTCATCCGCTTCACCAAACCTCCCTCCATCTCCTCCTCTGTGAGGAGGACTGAGGCCCTGGGATCCAGCCGGCTTGGGATGCACTGTGGTGCCCACAGGGCCCAGGCATGCAGATGAGATGTCCTACTTCCTACCCCAGGACCTGGAGGCAGGTAGAAATTGGGGAACAAAGGGGAGGGGTAAGGGCCTCAGATCCAGCCTGGGAACCAGAGGCTGAGGCAAGACCAGGCAGAATGTTGCCATTTCTAGCCAAGACTCCAGGGATCCCATTCTCTATCTCTTTTAGCAATTCTGAGACCTTGTGGCTCAGCCCCTCGGTCTCTACTGTAGCCTTAGCCTTAGTGGGCGGGCAGTGTCACCTCTGGAGGGCTTGCTTGAGATCCCTCTTGGCCTATGACCAACCTAAGAAGTCAAAGTTCTTAAGCCTCCCATCCTCCAAGCAGAGCAGAGGGGGCTGCCTCCTCCTGCAGCCTACCCCCAGGAAACAAACTCACTGTCCCAGATATATGTATTTTTTTTGGCTCTTTTTATGGCCTCTTCCCTGCCCCCATGTATGAATTGGTTGTCAGTGTTAAACTTCTGAAGTAGTGACACAGAAGTCCATGTATTGCAGTCTCTCTAAATAATTTGGAGGACCCTGCCTGGGCCAGTGTTCCATCTGGCAGTAGCAGGCAGGTGCTGGCCTCTTCCGAGGTGACCTGCAGTCCCCCCCGCCCCACTGTTTCCGATCACCACCTGCCATGCAGCTTTCTGCCCTCATTTTGCACTCTGTGGTATCTGCACTCCCTGCCTTAGAGTACACCCCCATACCCCTGTACCCATTTCTACCTCTGAGCCTGGGTCTCTCAGCATCTCCATGTGTCTCCCTGCAGGCTGTCGTGCAAGGTGGTCCCTTCTGCTACCAGCAACTCAGGATACCCCCAGCAGCACTCCCTGCCCCATACCCCTGCCCCCAGCCTCGACTCAAGCCTCCAGCCCCTCCAACATGGTCTCACTCAGGGCCTGGACATCTCAGAAACCTGCCTTGGTCTCCAGCTTTCCTCCCCTTCTCGACATACCTGGGACTAACTTTTGGATAGTAAATAAACTTTATTTTCATAGTTACTGGCTCGGGCTGTGCCTGGGAATCTATCTGGGAGTCAAGGCCTTAGAGGAGGAGGCAGCCCTGCAGCCGTTCCCTCACCGGCCCCCAGGGGCTCGGCTGCTGTCTCTAGGAAGGGCAGAGGCGCCAAGCAATCCACCTGGCACCACATTCACGCCACCAGGGGCCTCAGGGAGGAGGAAGCAATCTTAATGAGTCTCTACAGGCCTGTTAGGTGCCCTCCTCCAAGCTCACAGTCATAGCCACAGAAACACACGGGTATGTGAGAGGGACCGAGTCCTGGCTACCTGGCTTTCGCTTCTCTGCTGACTGCTGCCAGGAGGAGGGGGCACTATGGGTATCACAAGAAAGAGGAACCAGGGGCCAGCATTGTGATGGAGCATGCTAAGCTGCCACCGGCAGCACTGGCATCCCATGTGAGTACTGGTTTGAGTCCTGGCTGTTCCAGCTCCCATCCAGCTCCCTGTTAATGTGCCTAGGAAAGCAGTGGAAGATGGGCCAAGAGCTTAGATCCCCTGCATCCACACAGGAGACCTGGATGAAGCTCCTGGCTCCTATCTGGTCCAGCCTTGGCCATTGTGGCCATTTGGGAAGCAGCAGATGGAAGATCTCTCTTTCTCTCTCTCTCTCCCTTTATATATAAAATTCTGATTTTTAAATAAATGAATATTTTAAAAAAGAAAAGTAAAGGAGGCATCCTGACTCCCAGGTAGAATGGGACGGAGGCACATTTTTGTGACAGGCTGTCCCAGATAGGCAGAATCTCCAGCTTAGCCTCCAGGTAGGACTGGTGAGGGCCCGTGTCACAGGCACCATGGCCACAGCTGCCACCCGGGTAAGCTTTGAGCCCACAGGAGCTTTGAGCAGTGTCCCTGGAGAGTGAGATAGGGAATGGGGGTGGGAGGGGGAAGGGAGGAGGAGAAGCAGTGGCTCTGAACCTGAGGGAGGAGAAACAAATGTCTCCATGTACCTGAGCGTGGGGGATTCCAGCCTACAGTTAGGGATGGAGCGATCCAGCTCTGCGTTTATTTCCAGTTGGGAGTGGGCGGAGGCCGAGGCTGAGGTGGTCTTGGGTGTTTAGGGGGCCACACCAAGGCAGGGGGGTTACCTAGTGTCCCATCGCAGAATAACCACGGGCTTCTCCCAGGACACGGGGCTGACCCACGCGGCCTTCCGTACATATTCATTCACACCACGTTTGTCCCCCTTCCCAGTGCTACACACAACGCCCTCTGCCTTCTGCCAACCGTCCATCACCACCTTCCCCCGAGACTCCTTGGAACCCCGGCCCAGGCCAGCCCCGCCTCGCCCGAGCCGGCTCCACCCTTAAGGCGCCAGTCCCAAGCAGGAGCTGGCGCCTCCCGGCGCTGCAAACTACAAATCCCGTCGTGCCTCGCGCGCTCTCGCCCTCCTCTCCCACTCCCCCTATGGACGCAGCGTGTGAGTCGGCCAAGAGTGCCTCCCATTGGTTTTTCCGCCCTGTCAATCACCTGGGCGTGAGAGGGGCGGGGCCGAGGTAGAGATCCGGATCCGGAGCGGCTGAAAGGCGGAAGTGGAGGCCGGAGCCTGGGACACCGCTGGGGGGGGGGAGAGGAGCGAAGCCTGTCCGAGCCGCGGCCCCGAGTAACGCCGCCGTCCCCGGAGCCACCGTGAGTATGCCGGTCTCGGGACCCCGTGTCTCGCCTGCCCAGTTGCTTTTGTGGGGTAACCCTTCGTCCCGCCTAACCCTAGCTTAGGGGGATCCTGACCCCTCCCCCGACCCGTAGCCCCTTCTTAGGGTGTCGGGCCAGGGGAGATCCCTGCTGTGCTGGACTTACCTGCCCTCTGTGAACCTCGGAGAAACCCCCGAGGCTCTCCTCTGGCCTGTCCAGCCCGGGTGTGGGAGAGAGGGAACCCCAAGTTCCGCTCCTCCTGCTCCCAGGATCGGACGGTCGTTGGCAGGTGGGAAGGGAGACTTCCCCCCCCGACCCCGTTCTTGTGGAGGCGGCGGGGAGGGCAGGCTGTCGCCCCTGTCCTCTCCTCCCCGTCCCGCCGAAGCAGTTGTCTCCTGCAGCCCTGGAGAAAAAATTGTCCCGATTGCCTTTTTGTGGGGGAGGGAGGGAGGGAATGCCCAGGAAGGCGATTCCACACGCGTGGAAAGTAGGTTTGCTCCCACCACTCCTGACCACTTCGGGCTGTCCGCGGAGTTGGGGAGTGTGGCTCACTTCTGGGAACCCAGCCCTCCCAGCCCTGGCCTTCTCGGGAGGCTGTGCTCTCAAGTGAGTCCCCCTTCCTGCCTCTGAAGAATTTAGCTGAGCTTTGCTCAATCCCAGCTGCAGATCACAGATCAGGGTGGACCTGCCCCTTCATTATCTTCTCTTTCCCCTGCTCCTCCTCCTTTGCTCCAGGCCCAGCCCTGTCCTTCCAAAGCATGGGAGTGAGTGTTCTCCCAGCTGCCCCAGAGGCGAGACCACAGCCAGGCATGAGTGGAGCGGTTTGGGTGGGATCCATGGCCCATGGATACACGCACATCCGCATGTGTGTGCAACAGGTCCATGCCACACCATGGGCTCTGGTTGGTCTTCTGGGCTTGAACTGATGAATGATCCCGGTGATAGCCCTGGATTCTTAGTGTGCTGGTTTCTGGAGCCTGAGAAACTCCCAGGCCTGCCAGAAGGGGCTGGTCCCTCCCTCCGTCAGCTGTCCTGCTGGACCTTCCTACCCTGTTGTTTCTGTGTGATGTGGCCAAAGTACAGGCCAGAGGCTGTGTCTTCATGAGGAGTAGCTTGACCGCGGCCACGGCTGGCCCTTGCTGTCTGTGGTGGAGCCGAGCTGTGCTTGGCACTCCCTGCACTCCTGTGCCACCCTGCCCGTCTTGGCTGACCTTGGTTGCTCCTGCCCACAGGTGTTTGAGATTCTTTTGGCTTTGAGATCTCTTCCGGCATCTGATTCCTTCAGTCTGCTGAGCTCCAGCTTGGATGTGCTTGTTTCACTTGTTCATTGGACAGCAAAGGAAAACTCTTATTGGGCTCACCAGCTGGATGGCAAGTGCTCTGTCTGTGGGCGTGGCGGAGACTCTGACTACCAGCCTGGTCTCCATGACTCGGCTTCCCAGGACCTGGGGGGAGTTCCTCAGGAGTCCTCCTCAGGATGACTCCTCCCCAGCATCTAGGCCGGCTCTGCCAGCTCCAACCTGGAACCGGGCTGTGAAGCTCCCATCGCAGGAGGGCGAGGAAGGCTTCAGAGTCCCAGATGGCTGTGTCACTCCAGGCAGAAGTGGGAGCCTGCCTGGCCCTGGGAGGAGGAGGGGGACTCTGTGTGGTGTAGAAGCCCCTCATCTGTGGCACTTTTCTTTCCTCCCCTTGTTGGCTGTCCCAGCAAGCTGGCTGGCCTCTTTCTGTTAGATACTAGAGAGGTGCAGTAACTACTAATTCCTAGAGGTTAGGGTAAAGTTGCAAACTTGATTCCGCACACAGGGCTCCCCAGTATCAGGAATATAGTGAGATCTGTGTTCCCTGTTTGGAGAGGTACTGAAAGATGTCGGGGAGATTAGCAAGTGGTAGAGCCGAGACATGGGTTCTGGGCTCATATGTGATGTCATCTTTCCTAATAATGGGCCCTTAGATGAATGAACAGGTGGGGTAAGCCATGAAGGACGCAAGTGCAAGCGCTGAACCTTCTTGCCTTTGGCATCGCTGGCTCTGCTTGGCTTCAATTGCTTCCCCATCTTTACCTCGGCCTCCTGTC